GAGAGAGAGAGAGAGGGGGAGAGGGAGAGAGGGAGAGGGAGAGAGAAATTTATCTATTATTGGATGAATTATTTCGCCAACAAAAGTTGTGGAAATAATTTATAAGCTTCCATTATTTTATAATGATAATTTATGAGATGAAATTTGTTTTCTTCAAACTCGCTCTGGTACGTTAGACAGGGGAGAGTTCGTTACTTTTAAAGGCTCTTCTTGTCCAAGACGATTGCAAATGTTAGAAGATGGATGGTGTTTCTCATAGAGTCGGAAAGGAGATGACATCAAATCATTTAATGTAACAATTCGAGTCATAATTCGGGGTTTCCGTGAGTTATTCCTTGAATTGTCAACTGGTTGTCTCTGATTCAAATATGTATTGTCAGTACAACTAGCAAAAGCATGAGATTGTATAATTTTTGATTTTGTTTTAGAATTTTCATTAATAATTCCTACTATATCATCGTCTTTATCATTTGGATTCGGAGGAGTTTCTTTGGGATTCATTTTGTCTTTTTTTTCGGAATCTATGAAAATATTTATATATTAATGTAAGGATTAATTATAATGGACAATTAAATTTTACAAATTTTTCTATTAATTTCAATTATTTATTAGAATTTTTTCTAATATTATAATTTTTCAAGAAAAATAAAATTATCTGATAAATGTTAATATTTTCTTCAACTTTTCATAATTTCTTCATTAGCATCGAAACTTAAACATTAATTTTCTCATTAACAGCACAATTTCGATAAATATTTTCTCATTGATTCTCTTATTAACAACACATTTTTTCTCATTGGTATTAAAATTTTTCCATGTGTATATAATTTTTTACATCACCACCCTGAAACAAAAAAAATGAATTGATCAGAATTTGCATTCAATATTAGTTTAGTACGTAATATTATAGACGGGAATTCAAAACTTAGAAAAAAAGAAGAAAAACTCGAGAGGGGGTAAGACGCATTATTTGTGGAATTTTTCTTTTTTGCCCCAATACTAATATTGAAGATTAAGTTTATGCCCAGTGAATTTGATTGAGAAAAAAAATCCCTGAAATTGCTAGATAAAATCCCCATTCAAATTTTATCCAATTCTTGTCTTACATCAATTTATTTTCCTCAGGCCCAGTTGCATACTAAGCCTTGTTGAGCAAATAAACATTAGAGTAAAATTTATCCTCGAGATAAATTATATCCTACAGGTCGTATTTTCCTTTGAATTCCAAAGTTTATATCTCTTTTTAACTCACAATTTAGTTAACTGGTGCATTGGACCAGAGAGAATGTTCATCAATTTCCAGTAAATTTTTCTAGTAAAAAAAGTTATTCTATTAAATTTTTTCGGTAATGTAAAAAGATTCTAAGATCCAAAAAATTTTGAAATAAATCATAACCAATGCCAAATGGAAATTTTTCATATTGAAACTCAATTTAAATAATGTATAAATAATCAAAATATCTACCTTTCAATTCTCTTTTGCCTAATTTTTTGTTATTCACCGGGAAATTGAAATTACAGCAAAGAATGTAGAACAACAAATCTGAAATCAGAAAATACATAAATTTGGATATGTTTGAGTAGTGAAACATTAATTTTATTGAACAATTTTTACTCACATGATCCTCAATTCTAACTCCTTCTGAGCATAAAAGCACTGTTTAGTAGATAATTACAATAATGAATGATAAAACGACTGGAGAATTAATCAAAACACTGATACCAGTTCAATAAATTATAATAAATAGAGAGGAGAAAACTCTGAGGTTAATCTCTCTATTCTTCTTCTGCCTGTCAATTAGAGTTGCCAATATTAGGCTTTTTTGTCATAAAATAAAAACTGAAGAACACGTTTTATTAAAGTCACAATTCAAAATAATGCAGTATTTATTTTTAACACTAAACAACACAATTTATGGATTAAAAACACACATAACAAAATGATTTTCACAATTTTCTGTGAGACATTTTTCATACTTTTTTACACCATAAAATTTCAGCTTCAATTAGCTTAAACACCATTTATAAACTATTATTGTTATAATTATTTTTTCGCCAATCAATCAATCATCATCAATTCAATGACAGAGAAAAAATTTACCTGATAAATCGCATCATTGTATCGATTTTTCATTAATTGAAAAAAAAACAATCGATTGATCGATAATCGCATTTTAATTTACGATACAATATCCTCGGTTCTCCTTTAGTATCCCAAGTAGAAATCTGGAGCCAAAAAGATGTCTTTAAGATATCTCGGGAGGGACACGAGACAACCTTCCGATAGTACAAAAAGATGCGATTTTGAAAACAAAAATGTATTCTTAATGTCTGGCCCACAGATATCACTTTTGTACGTAGATACGGTATCTTTTTGATTACATTTTGTTAAGGCACGAAGGTGTCTATTTCGTATTCATTTGCAATGAGAAAAAGACATACCCCCAAGTAGAAATCTGCGGAAAGTTATCTTTAAGATCGGAAATTCATATACTAAAGCCTGTCCAAAAGTTATCGTTTTGGAGAAGTCATCGTTTTCCTATCTTTTTCAACGTCCCAACGGAAACGATCATTTTTGCACAGACATTAGTATATGAATTGTCCATCTTAGAGATAACTTTCTGCAGATTTTCTACTTGGGCGAAATTTGGATATCGAAAAGGTGACGATGTGCAGTGTCATTTAGATGACAACCAATCGATGCCTGAAAGATTACTCCTTTAGCCTCAAAATAGTTATCTTTTATTTGGTAAAAAAGGATGGGTTTAGGACGGTGGTTTGAAAAACTATTTTTTTGTAGGAAATATTTGCGAAGAAGTTTTTTTTATCGTCATTCTCATTATTCTGTCAATAGGAATTTGGAATATTGAGAATTACGATAAAAACGACTCCCCCGTAAATATTTCATACATGTAATTTCCTAAACCTGGAAATAATGTAAACATTTTTTTATCAAAGATCATTATTCATTTCAACACAAAAGACATGAAAAAACATTTCTTTAGATGCATTGATTAGGATTATGAACAAGATTAACATAAGAACAGGATGGAAAACCAATAACATTGAGGTACGCTTTGCAAAATTATACCGGCAAGTGTTTGAAAATATCTCCTGCATTTTGAGAATTCATAATAGATTTTCCATCTAGTTCACTAGGAAGATCGTTTCTATCTTATGAAATATCCTCTCATCGGGAAATATTATAACAAATTAGTAATAGCATGAATCGACTTATATGGATCTCTGGGCTTTTTTTATAGCTAACAACTTCCACAAAATGAATTGCAATATTTATTTGGTATATCAACGAATCTCGTAAAATATAAATATAAACTTTGTCGATATTAAGAAAACTTTAATAGTAATATCCAATGCATACACCATGCGATACTATTGGTATTTTTGCTTCTATGTAAAATACTTTTTCTTCAATCAAGTACGCATTAAAAACTGCAAGAACATTTTATTGTTTACTTCATAATTAAATTATTCTTATAAAAGAGCCTTCTTTGCATCTCGCTTTACCTGACTGAAAATATATATCGAAATAATATGGCTAGGGAAAATTAAACGCGACATTTATCGTTTGAACTTTTTGTCATGATCATAACTCAATATGACAATCATAAAATGTATTAACACAAATTGAACTCAAATGATGGGACAACCGTCCATTGTTATTACTAATTTCTCAAATACTTAATATCTAGAATTTGAGAAGATCTTTCTTATGAAAACTATACATAACTGTTAATGTACATAGTATTTATTGTTCGTATTCTACTACTAGGTAGACTATGGCAGTAATCCATCACCTCAATGATTTGCAAATAGGAACTCTAAAATACTTACACCAACATCTTTTTCTCATTAATTTTTACAAAAGTCTTATGAGATGTTTTTGAGGCATTCCGCGCCAAATGAGTCAACCCCGAACCCTCACCCTTTTGAAAATTGATGACGATTGTTTCTACCATTGGGGGGCTTGAAAAAATCTCATTTTTTTTTTCAAATTTTTTTGGCAGCCCAGTTTTAAAATATGATTTTTTTTTATTTTACCTTTTTTTTCAATAACTCGAGTTCTATCCATCCGATTTTAATTTAATAGGCGTCAAAATTTTTCATTTTTTACCACCTTCAAGAATATATTTTACAATTTTTGTTTTTCGATTTTTAGATGCTTGCAATAACGAACTTTCGAAAAAAAAAGTCGAAAAACTTGAATTTCGCAAATTATGTCACGATTGATTTTAACCATTTTTTTTCAGTGATTCATGCAATTAAACCACGTATTTTGAGCCCTCATACAAGAGGGGACTCCTTCTGGATCTTTTTTTTTTAATTTTTTCTTTTCGAAATTCTGCAAAATTTGGTGAAAACACCCTTAGATGGCGTCGGTCGACTTTTATTTTATTTCTAAATAATAAGATATAAGATATATCTTTATGGTATATATTATTTAAAAATATAATAAAAGTCGAACGACGTCATCTAAGGGTGTATTCACCAAATTTTGCAGAATTGCGGAAAGAAAAAATTAAAAAAAAAATAGATCCAGGAGGAGTCCCATCTTGTATGAGGGCTCAAAATACATGTTTTGATTGCATGGATCAATGAAAAAAAAATTATAAAATATATTCTTGAAGGCGGTAAAAAATGAACAATTTGGACTCCTATTAACATATAAAATAAAAAAAATCATATTTTATAACTGGGCTGCCAAAAAAAATTGAAAAAAATTGAGACAATGGTATAAAAAATCGCCATCAATTTTCAAGAGGGTGAGGGTTCGAGGTTGATTCATTTGACGTGGAATGCCGCTTTTGAATTTTTCATTTGTCATGAACTTAGTTGTTTTCTGGTAGAAAATAAGAAAAAATAACTATAAATCTATCTTGTTGTAGAAAGCTAATAAGTTTTAATCTAGAGAAAATAACGTTGGAAATTTTTGTAGTTCCAAAATTTCAACATATCCAATTAGAGAAAATATGCCCTACTTATATATATATATATATATATATATATATATATATATATATATAT